GGTCAGATAAAAATTGAATATATTATATTAATAAAAACTGTCAAAGTATTACTTCTACAAATCTGTATTTCAATTAATAAGAATACATCTAAATATAACCAATATTGTTAAAATAAAAGCACAAATTCTTTATAATTCCAAAATACCATAGAGTTCCCAGACCTCAGTCGAAGCATTCGTTTATCTAGGTATAAACCCTTTGCGCGAAGAGTAACACTTGCCAGAGACACGGGGTACCACTTGATTTGCATCCACGAGCGTGACACATTTCTTTAACAATTGAAGCCCTTGGTGTAAAAAGGATCCAAGCCACAATTTGTCGTGAAGTGACTGTTTTAGCTCAAAACATTTGTTAACGAGGATTTTACTAGCCACATACAAATTATTTTACCTCTAATCCGAAAGATGTGCTATTTTTCGTAAAATAATTTTTTTAATTATATTTGACAGATTTAAAACAAATTAAAAATTTAATTTCCCAAAACTTACTTAACATGACATGTAACCAACCTTATTACGTCAAGGTTTTCAATTTTTTCAATAATAAAAAAATTGCTTAATCCGGGCCCGACTTTTCCCTTTAATCTAACAGAGATAGCACCATTCCGTCTTGCTTGGTTCTCGACCGCCAGATCAAAGACGCCGACACGGAGTTGTGGAGCTGTATTGTATAAGCTGTGCTAGTGTTTCAATGACGGTATCAAAAGGACTTTAAAACAATCTTAATTTCATTCGCAATGACATCAAACTCTGAGACACTAGTATCAAAATTTATCTTCAAAGCACTAAAAGCTTCGATTGCAAAATCGAGGGGAAACTCATTCTCAGTAGTGTGGCTAAATATTTCACATGTTTTAAAAAGCGTGAAACATTTTTTACGTAATTGTGATTGAAACAGTATTATTTTCTGCCGAAACAATTTGATATTAGTATATAAATCAGGGAGAAGCTGGTTTTCTCCTTGCAATCTCAAATTCAGTTCGATCATATAATTTCCTCCCATCTCTTGAATAAACTCGCGGAATTGTCGGTAGATCTGATGAAATTAACAACTGTTATGACTGGTTTTAGAACTTTAGACATATCCAAACATTTTCCGCACAAGGACTGTTGATGAATAATACAATGTAAGACTAATGGTTTTGAACCACCATCATTTTCTACAGCCTCTGACACAAGTACAACCACTCCTTTATTTTTGTCTCCATCAGTTATAATAGATTTCAAGTTGTTCCATCGAATATTCTTTTTATTAATGGCATTTTCGACTCCCTTAAAAATATCTTCTACAGTAGTCGTGCCATGAATGCTATCAATATCAAGAAGTTGTTCATACACTAATAGCTTTTATCTATTCCTCGAATAAAAATCAACACCTGAGCAGTATCTGACACATCCATTGATTCATCCAAGGCCAAAGAAAACCACTCGGGATGTCCATTTTTGTCAGTCAGTTGACTTATATTTTCTGCTATGTGTCTTGTACCCTCCAAGCAACGTTGTTTGCTGACAAACTGACAGTTTTAAATAAATTTATTTTTTCGGGGCACATTTCTTCGGCTACTGCAATTACGCATTCTCTGATCATTTCTCCATCGGTGAATGGTTTTCCATGTTTTGCGATTTCAAGAGCCACACGAAAGCTGGCACCAGTTGCAGCCTCTTGTTCAATATTGACTTTTGTAAACAAAGATTGATGCGATTTCAATCCGCGCTTCAAAACTTAATTTTTCTGTCCGCATACTTCCTGTATATTTTGAGTAATTTTGAAAATGTTTCTTTTCTTAATGACGTTTATAATTATATTCTTTGAGAACGCTTATAGTTTCATTGCAAATCAAACATAGCGCCTTATTACTGGACTCAATCACGAAATATCGAAAGTTCCATTGATCTGCATTCGCTGTCTATTTTCCCCTTCTTTTCCATTCCAGTAAATCACACACAAAAACAACAAGTCAAATCAAAATACTGTTACGTAAGGGTGTTGGTCGGCTGAAAGATGTCTTTTAAACGCGATTACGCACTACTTTATTTCACAACAGACAGTTTCTCTTCATTTGCCTTCCCTAGACAGACTGACTCGCGGTCGCACCGCTAGCCTTTTTATACTCCAATTACTGCCATCTCGAAGCGAGTGAAATACAGCATTACTTTCGAAATGCTTAATTGTTATGCGATTTGGAAAGTACTACTAGCGCCATCTGTTATCCATAGAGGGTACTACCACTACCTATTTCCGCTTTTGACCACCAGATTTCGTCAAGTGTTACGGTCGTAACAAATTGTAACAATACACAATAGTAATTCAACTAGCGGATTTAGCAAGCGTATGCTCGTTCAGGGCGTGTACTAGGTGATTAGTCTAGAAATTATACTTGCAAAAACATTAAAACTGTTTTGGCCCTTGTAAATTTACTGGAGTAATCAGTATGGCCGTAAGGCTGGAAAGTTTGGAAACCCCTGATATAGATAGATGATTGAGAACGGAACAAAACAAAAACTGAAGCCATTACTCTAAAATGAAAACAAGAAATATGACAAATAGTAACAAAAATGTATTTAAAAAAATTATGCGTATAAAAATGCATCAAACGAAAACGGATGTGGGTTCGCATTCAACCATATTTCATAAATGTGTTTCTGTTTCTTGTCGAACATTATTTAAATTATCCTTATTGAACGAAATCTTGAATAAATTATCGTAATATCACAAACCCTAAAATAAACTTTTTTTTTATTGTACATTATAAATTTATCATATTAAACATTTCATTAAAGTGTTTCAAATAATTTTTCACTAATTTGCGAAAATAGTCAAACTGACAAGTCGAAATATATGGTTAGGAAACCTTGAATAAAGTTCTAATCATTAGTTTTCAGAGCTGTTAAATTTAACAGATCCACGTCCATTAATTGTACTCGAAATTACACTGTCAACTGTAATCATCTGTTATAGTTAATTAATCATGATTTCCTAAAGTGATAGAAATACCCAAAGTCCTCTGACAAAAGAGTATCGCATTTTTAGTTAGTTTGCAAGCGTCTTTTTATTTCAGTTGCGCTTTGTTGTTGCTTAGCAGAGCTGCGTTTACATGAATACAAGAAGTCACTTTGAAAAAATTAGATTACGTTTTACATTTTGTCTACAAATACTAGAAAAATTTACTTTCGTACTTTATAAATACATTTCCCAGCTGAACATTGGTTTTTAGCGTTTTTAGAGTTTTTAAAGCTAATCCAAAACAAGTGCAAATTCGTGAAACAGAAAATTTTTATTAGATAACTCATATAAATTTTTTTAATCAATATCATTTTCTTCACAACTGGACTCTGATTAAAACTCAGCACTATTTGCCGCTGTACCTAAATTAATAATAATTGGTTCTAGATTAGAAACATCTAATTGCTTGTATTTTTTCCAATCGGAAACACTTATGTTCTTAGTGTGTCTTATATAATTGTCCCACTGAGTATCGGTAACATTATTCAAAGCTTCTGACCAAGTTTGAAAAACATCTTACGGTGACGACTTTGTTGTTAAAATTTTTTCGTCATAAAACCGTTTGCACTTTGACCACACCATCTCTATCGCATTGTACTGACAGTGATATGGAGTTCTTTATATATAATATGTTATGCCCATATTATTTCTCAACATACCTATCTAGGTGGAATTCTTTTCGTGGTAGATTTTGACGTACAACTTCCCAAATCTGATATTTCATACCATTGATTGGATAATTAATATTCTTTGTCTGCAACCATTTAACCATCTTTTGTCCAACTATAACATGGAATTGGTTCCACGTACCGCGAAAGATAACTGGCATTATCGATTATAATCAAAGAAGGATGTTCCAGACTAAGTATAAACTTCGTCTTAAATCATTTTTCAAAATTTTCTGTGTTCATATTATTATGGTAATCCCCGCTTTTTGTTTGATTTTTAAATATGGGATCTGCATTTTTTATAAACCCTTCTTCATTGTCACCATGGACAATTATGTATCGAATTGCATCTTCTGTTTTTTTACTTGCAGTAGCCAACGTTTCATCTTGCCAACTTTTATTGTCATTTCCCTTGCTATATACATAAATACAGGCTTAAAATTACCCAGCTCTATCTCCTTGTTAAAATTTTTCAAATACGACTTTTTTTAAGTGAATCGATGTTCGTTCCAATAAAAACTGTCTGTTGTTACTTCTTTTAAAGCGAAAGCCAATTTTTCGAATCCATGTATTAATTTACTGTGCAGAACATTTCACATCAGGCTTCTGAAAATCGTTTATGTAACGATTTCATTCTACATCTTATATATAACTTGCCTCAACTTACTTAATATTAAAGAATTGACGTTTGTTTTACTTTGGCTTACTTTTTTAGACATTATTTTCACATACTCTGTATCAGAATTTGTTACTTTACTAAGTCTATAGTTTTCTGTGAAATAGCCATTTGATTGTGCCCCTTTCCAAAAGCCTCGCAAATAGATTTGTGTCTTTTAAAATAGGAAACTACGTTTAGGTTTAAAGTTTTTGATTGATCACTAAGTCATTTCACTATTTTGTTGAATACTTATAAAAACTTTTGAAATATCAAAATATACAAATTTTTAAAAAATTTTCCAATTCAAAATTATTTTGGTAATAACATGATATAATTAATACGACGTGCCAAAATCTAGTAACTTATTGTTTCATCCATTTTACATTTACATTTAAAGAAAGCGAATGAACTTGGGGTATTTCCGAGACTTTAGTACTGAGACATTTCCTTGCTACATTAGCTACAGAAGGGTACAATAAATCCTTTAGGTCGCAGTGTATTAACGCCCCATTTCCAATAACATTAGTACTGAAAGTACCGGCCCTTAGTCTATAAATATTTTGTTCGGATCATTTACTAATTTACTGCATTACTTTAAACAGAATTTTTTTTTACATATCCCAATTTGTAAAATTTTGATTATCAAAAAATAAAAAGCATATTTTTTCAGAAAACCAAGGTCCTTTGTTATTAACCAAAATAACGCGTGCAGACCCAGGCTTAATCCAATATGCTATGGATCACTATGGCACTACAAATTTATCAGAAGAAGATTGGAAAAAGACAGAAGATAACTATAAAGTCAGTTTGCTATACCAGGCAATGGTAAAAAAACGAGAAGAAGTAGAAAGATTGAAAATGGCAGGAAAGAACAAATATGAATACGATTCAGATGAAGAGATAGACGGTGGTACGTGGGAGCATAAAGCAAGAGAAAAGGTAATTTTTGAAGTGCTAAAAAATTGAATTCCAGTTATTGGTTATTTTAAGTTTAGATACCAATATTACAACAGTGAAATAGTACTTATTTTTACATTATAGTTGATATTAAAAAATTCCAAAAGAATAGGAAGAAGTGATTAAATTTGTCCAATGCACGAGGTGCAGCTTCTTTCATAATTAAAATTATTATGTATTTTTTTAGGAAATGGTAGAAACGCAAATATGGGCTCAAGAGCTTACACAACAAGCAGAAGGTAAACATCACATTGGCGATTTTTTGCCTCCTGAGGAATTAAAGAAATTTATGGAAAAAGCAACTGCAATAAAAGAAGGAAGGTTACCTAGTCATTCGGACTATAAAGAATTTGAGATCAAAGAGGATAATATTGGTTTTAAGATGCTGCAAAAACTTGGTTGGTCTGAAGGCGAAGGGCTAGGAACAAGCGGGTCAGGAATCGTTGAGCCCGTCAATAAGTAAGTTAAAATTTTCCCTGTATCCTACAATTAGAAATATTTTTGTTAATGTAAAAACTAATTTATAATAATTATATAATTTTATGAAAATAATATAAATAAAAAAATTATTATTTTTAAGGGGCGCACCCAGGGAACATACACAGGGCTTAGGTTTAAATGATTCCCAAGAAGATGAAGATGAGTATCAGTCATATAGGAAGAGAATGATGTTGGCTTATAGATTTAGGCCAAATCCCTTGGTAAGTAAGTTTTAGTTGAATATTGCATATAACAACTGGGTCTATTCTGTAAAACATTCTTTAAATATTTAACTTTTAGCGGCTCGTTAATTTTATTAATCAAAAACGATATCCTGTATCCACACATTTTACAGGCCTGTTATAAATTATCAACTTCAAAATATTAAGGGAACGTAGGACAACATCGCCTTAAGGTTTATTTGAACTAATTTTGACCTTCTGTTCGCATGGGAATAGTGCATTAAAGGAATAGAAGAAGGAAGGATAACATACATATTATAACAATCGTAACCAATAATAAGAGATATTGCAGGTACACTTAAGTCCGTATTTATAAACAGAACTTACCTGAGTCGGACTTGGGTAAGTCGTCCTTGAACTAAAATTGAAGTTCGGTTACAACGTCTCTAAAGTTCTAGATGGTTCTGGTGTTAGACTGAAATTTAGAGATGGATATTAGTAAATCTGTAACTGTTACGTACATTTACAGATTTGTTACTACCGATCTCTAAATTCACACGATATAACCGAACTTCGATTTTGGTTCAAGGACGACTTACCCAAGTCCGACTCAGCTGAGTTTTGTTTATAAATACGGACATTGAAGTCAGTCACTATTAGCGCCGCTCATATTTTGACATCTGAGCATGCGCAGATCGTTTTAGTTTTAGAACTAACTTTATTAAAGATAGTGCTTGTCCTTAATTGTGGATGTTTAACGGCAGCAAATAGTGGGGTCTTCATAGCTTTCGGGTGTGCTCAGCAAAATTCGTTTCAGTTCGAAGTTTTATAATATACAGGGTTTCAGAATAAAGTACCGTAAATTGGGGGATTGGTAGATCTTAACTAATTTAATATAATTTTCTTGTAAACATCCCAGTTTTCATTCTACAAAGTGATAAACTGAATTCAATAAATACAGAAATTTCTAAACATTTTTCCTTACAGTAAAGACTAACTTAAAAATTAGTATGTTAGTTATCGTCATTATTAGTTAACACACTCTATTTCGATAAATTACAATAACCTATTGGCATAGAATCAAGGACTAAGAAAAAAATGTAATCCAAACTCTTCCTATATTTGATAAAAGTTGAGATTAATTATTATTACTCATGTAATTTGTTACAAAAAAAAAGGACTTTTGGTTGATCACTTTAGAACATTTCATTTTCGTGATTTTTCAGTTTTAGTCCTACTCAAACATGAAATCTATTAATGCAGTCACTTAAGCAAAAAAAAAAGGGACCAACCTCGGAATGAGAGATAATGAGCTGGAAACTTGTATACACCTTCATTTTGGCGTTGTCTCAAAAGTCTCATAAAATTTCGCGTCTGCGTCGTAAGTTATTAAATGTCACAAAATAGTTTTTTTTTGCGATTATCTAGATGTCTATATCTTCAATGATATTAACATCTATTATAAAAGTTGTAGAACATACAATTTGCTACAAATTTTGTGGCAAACATTTTTTTTATGCGCTCAACTGTTCTTGAGACAGAGGGCGGAGAGGGCGTAGCGCTCAGCCATACATACTGTAATGCAAGGTCAACGGTGAATCTCGGTGAAAAATACCCTGTATAAAGTTATTAAATAATTAAAATATCATTAACAATGAATAATTTGTATTATTGTATTTAATAACATTTTACATTTACATATACCTAATGTATTCATTTAATAAAAGTTACTTACGTTGTGTAACTAAACACTCATTAAATGAAATACTTTCTGTACATCTTACTTTTATACTAATTTATTGAAAGATTTCAAGTAAATTTTTTTTTAACTATTTTGTCTTTAAAATGTGTAAACACTTAAATACTTATTTTTCTATATATATTATAACTGGGAAGGCGGACCCCTATAATTCGATATTTTTCTATGAAGTCTATACCTGAGAATGCGGATCTTTTTATAATAAGACCTTTTTCATTTATAGTTAGTTCCAAGCCACACAAACTGCTCGAATATGGTGGAGAATGACTGAACAAACGGAAAAAGCAAAAATTGATTCTCAATAAAGATTCTTTAAAAAGTTGGAAAATGCAATGTCAAAACACAAATCTATTCTTTAAAAAGTTACAAATATCCCCTTTCTAAACATCATATTTTGTTTTTACATGCATTTAAAAAAGGGAAAAAAATTACCACAAAAACTTGTCAATTTCGACCAACTGGCTAAAGTTTTTCTACAAGGAAACTGCCCTGCAATTATAACAAAATGAAGTGCGCATCTTCTAGCGATATACAATGCTCCTAAATCTGAGGACAATATCGATCATCTTCGATATACTCAGTTCGTTAAATCTACAAAGCTTCATAAACCTGTCCACAAGGGCATATAAACCGTGTCAATTACCAAGTTCAAAAATGGTTAGGGCATAATTTAGAACCCCAAGAATGGGGTTGAGTGCTGCAAAATGAGCTCCTGGATCCAATGACAACAATATTACCACCAGCTCCAGATGAATTACTTATTTTGTAGTTGTAAGAATGGATGTAGTCCATGCTGCGGGTGCAGAAAGTCGGGGTGCAATGCACTTTAACTTGTTGTCAGTGCAATGGACAAGTTTGCCTCAATGCTGTTTTATTGCAAAGCTATCCCGAGGAAGAGAATGCATTTGACCCGGAAATTCCAGAAGTCTGGAAATAACGAAGATGTTGACTGAAACAGAAATTTTCAAACACATGGAAGATTACGACGATGAAGAAGAAAAGGACAGAAAATTAATACGTTTGTTCTTTAAATTATTAAAGATTTGTAAATGTTCACTTCACTTTAAGTTGTAAGAAATATAAAGCTCTCCACCCTCATCTCAAAAAGGGTTGAGCACCTGAAAAAATCTTTGAAACAAAATGTGTCGCAAATTTTATGCTCTACAATTTTTATAACAGTTGATAACATCATTGGAGCTGTAGAAACCTAGATAATCGGGAAAAACCGATTTTTGTGACCTTCGACCTTTAATAACTTACGACGAGAACCCGAGATTTCATGAAACTTTTGAGACAAATTTTAGAATGCCAAAATGAAGGTGTATACGAGTTTCCAGCTTATTATCTCTCATTCTGAGCTAAAACCCCTAATATGATTGAACTACTATGTACAATATGAAATTCAAAAAATGTAAATTTTTACTAAGGGCCGATTTAATAATCAATATTACAAAATTCATTAACTAACGAAAAATTGTTCAGAAAGTGTATACTTTCTGGTCAGTCTTAAAATAAAATATTTTTAAAGGCAGTCAATATTTTAAAGTAATCATTACAGACAGAATAGACCCCGATATCAAAAACATTGTCGATTTAAAATATTTTTTATTCATATTTTTTTTTAGAATAATCCAAGGAGGCCATATTATTAAATGTTTTCTCTTTAATGGATAAATAAGATAGAATATATATTATATAATAAGTTTTATGTAATATATTGTATATAGTGTTGTATTATTAATTGGTTGATTACTTTTTGTAAAAAAGTACCAAATATATTTTAGAAAGTTTGATTTTTCTTTAAAAAAAATATTGAAATTTTTTCAAAATATCAAAACGCCGTTAATAAAACAAATAAACCATACAATTTAAAATGGTTATTATGAATGTAAATATATATTTTATATGGTGATCATGCACATCTCATTTGGAGGCTGACAGACATTTTTAATTATAATTTTTTATATTCCATCTTTTTCATATTCCTGACGTCAAATTTGAAAACTTTATTCCAACACTAAAGTGATCATGTTGATTATTGCTATGATCCAGTTTTCGAGAAAAATCAATTTTAACTTTTCGAGCTTACCCAATGTTACTAAATTCGCTATCAATAATAAGAGACATTGGGAAGCGATTTCGGTGAAATTTACATAAAATCATATCTACAATTCGACATTTTCATTAGATAGGATAGTTTTAATTTAGTGTCTTCTCAATATAACGTAAGTGCCTTTGTTAGATATTCGCAATTAACACCTATAAATTTTCTTCTCTTGATCCATCGACGCTATCGAAACCAAGATAGAAACGACATTTCAGAGGAGACATTTTAGCCACAAGAGGCAAATTACGTTAAAACTACACTTAATACTTTGAAATGTATTTCATTAGGTAAATAAAGGCATTTCTTTATAACCTTACTGCAACATACTTGGTAACCGTATTGTAATTATTATTCTGGCGACGTCATACATCATGCCGTATCAACATAATACTTGTCATATTTGAATTAAGTTTTATTAAGTGTTCTTTGTAATTAAATAACGATGAATACATGTACCAATAGTCTTATATTTCCGTCTTTGTTATAATACAATATGTTAACCCATGGATCCTTCGAAATAAAGATGAGACACAATTATATTTGCAGGTGAGTGAAATAAAGAGAGGTTCTTGTGAATCGACCGACTGTCTGCCGTGATTGCACAGATGGGTACACCTCTACCGCTAGTAGGCTGACATGCATTGTTCTACCTATGTCTACTAATCAATAGCATCGCTTATTCTATACCATTTTCCTGGTGTCATTGTGTTGAAACAACGTTAAGTGTAAAAATTGTTATTTTCGTTTAAGACTCTTATAAGAAGGTAAACAATATTTAACATTAAAAAAAAAACCTATCTGAGAGTTTAATAATCTCTGCATCTTGGCCATCGATTAGGGGAATGTCTTGACAGCTACTGCAAAGCGTTTACAAAAAATACAACATTCGTGTTGTGAGCTTGTTTGTAACAATAGAAAATATGACCACATAACGCCTTACATAAATCCTGTAAAATAGTTGAAAAGAGATTATGGGTGTCACAAAATTGATCGAAAACTGTTAAATAAATATTTATTCAGTGAATAAAAGATCACAATATTAATATTGGTTGCTAAACCTAAAAACAATAAACGGTTGTTATATCATCAATGACTATTTAAGAATATAAACCTTACCAATGAATTTTGATTATATTATTGTTCGATTCGCATTGTAGGTATTTATAGTTCTTCCATTATCAATTGCAGAACATAAAAATTCGTTCGGAACCTTTACCGACAATTTTGTTTGATCTGCCATAGGCGTAGATACCTACCTCATTTTATAAATACTTTTAATATATATCATATGCAAGAAAGTATTCGTTAAAAGGAAATCGAATCATTATAAATTGGACGTTATTATACGCCTTGATTTAGACAGATGCACTTAATTGTAGTCTTACTTGGACTTAAAAAAAATCATTATAGCTCGTTAACTTGCTACAACTGAATATTAAATTGTAAAACGTAAAAAAGCGAGTAAAGTGTACCTGGCTGTAAGGGCGTTTGGTTTAAACAGGGTACCAGACGTGAACTGAGCCGTTTTTGTACCCCATTCGTTTTTTTTTTCTGGAAAACGATATTTCAAAGCAAAAACCATAAAGGAAAATAAATTCTTTGCAAATAAAACAAAAGAAAAAAAACAATTCAATTCTAAAGTATCTTTATAAATAATCATGGCAGTCTGAATCCTTTGAACTAGAGTCATCATTTGGTTGAATTATGATGGGTTGTAAAGAGGGTAATACTACATACTCATCTTTTTCTTTAATAACATGTTCGACGCAGTTTTTTTCCAAAGCTCTTGGCGGTCTGCTGCTAGAACTTTCTTTACGAGTTCTACAACCTCTTTACTCAGTTCTGGAGACTGATTACATTTTCGTAGTTCTGATTTTACGTTTGCCCATATTAACTCTGTAGGGTTAAATATGCAATAGTAAGGAGGTAGTCTGAGAAAAGTATGACCCTGTTCTTTGCACAGCTTGTCAATATAATAAATTTTTTCCAACTTCATGCCTTTAATAACAGTAAGCAATTCTTTGTTTGTTGGGCCTTTTTTACGATCACTGGCAGGAATAGGAATATTTTTTTCAGACATAAACGCTAAAATTTGAGCTTTGTTACTGCTACTATTTGGTATTTTAAGGAGTTGCCGTGAGTGGTAGGATGCGTTGTCCATAACGATTACTAACTGGTGGAATGTTAGGTAAGAGCTGTTTATTAAACCATTTTTCAAATAATTCTGCTGTCATATCTTCATGATAATCAGCTGCACACTTTAGTTTAACAGATAATAATAAAGCATTTGGCACGAAACCGTCTTTGCTTCCAGCGTGTACTATTATAATACGTTTCCCTTTAGAACATGGCCCATTCAAACAGCAATTTTTACTACTGTCAACTCAACCGAAATTTACTACATCGTGACTGTCAAACCATGTTTCATCTAGATAAATTATGTGTCTATTAGAACTTCTGTACTCTTTTATCTGACGCAACTAATCTTATCGCCATTGAACTATCCTTGACGATTCGGTGATTGCCATCCGTTTATTCATTTTTTTGTGTTTAAAACCACATGCTGACAAAACTTGACGCAATGTTTCCAAACTGGTATAAGTGTATCCTGGAAAATCTGCCACCTTTTGCTGTATTACTTCCAATGTCGGAACCCTGTTCTCCTTATATAAACTATAAATTGTCCTTCGTATAAAATCTTGGGTCAACTGATTTCAGTTTTTCTTTACATGTTTTTCGGTTTTATGAATAATCCACAGCAACCCCTTTCGTGACTACCGGATAAACGGAAAATTTATTTACTTTAGTTAATTCAGCAATTGTTATTATGAACGTATCAGACTGCTGAATATTTTCCTTTTTTAAACATTCGAATATATTTAAAATAACTTGTTGTGTTTGTATATCTAAATCCTTATTGTTAAAGTCATACCTGTCTTTAATCTCACTACATTGTGCAATTTCATTTTCTTCATTCGCCCACGGTCTAAAGAACGTCATATTCATATTTATTAAAAGAAATTTAAATTAAACCAACCACACATACAAAACACACCGCACGACAGTACTCCACTGATATCGCAGACTGTCTTCCAGGAATATTTTCGAACACTCCTCCCCTTCGTAAACCTTCGGCCAATACAGTGCATTTAAGTTTACGATTCGATATTTTCATTGGTTAACAACGGAGATGATGGATTTTGACACATATATATCAAGTACACGTTGACTGACCGTTCCTTTAATATTTACCGCATTGTATAAGGGGAGTAAACATTATTTTTCGTTTCTAAATTTGGCATGAGTACCGTGCGTATATATTAAATATTGATGATTCCCCACATAACTGTGTTCTGCAATTGATATTGGAAGGACTATACCTAACAAATTGAAGTTGTAAGCCTAAAAATAACAGAATTTATAAGTCAAATTAAATACACCACGATGAGTAAAATGTTTCCAACAAAATATTATTGAAATTAACTATTTACCCTACGAAAATATTTTAGATAAATATAGTTTGGATAGATTCTCTCTTAAAACATTTATTACTTTCTATTTGTTTATTTTTGTCATGTCAAAGTCATTCTCTTGTCATCAATCAATCAATATCAATTCTCTTCTTTTTCTTTTTAAATGGTTATAATTATTTAAAATTCCACTAAGGTACAACAATCAGTAAAATATACATATCTGGACATGAACTGACCACTGACCACTTTTTATAATTCTTTTTTATCCCACCTTTTCAATAAAATGGCTTCTTTCTGAACCACATGGGTTTTTGAATTTCGTAATTACGGATTTGTTTAGCCATTATTTAAATTATCTTTTAATTATTTCTTGCAAGTAGCTCACAGTTAGTTGAGACACATATTTTGTGGATTTATCACTTGTAAAAGAAAGGCCCCTAAAATCTGTGGTAAGTTCAATCTGTTCATGTTTTACTAAAATCATATATTAATAATGTCGTTCTCTTGTAGGCCTTTATTTATATAGTTAATTATTTACTTAGTGATTTAATCACTTAATTAAGAATCTGTCCATTAACTTACCCCTTTGAGGATCGATCAATTTTGGGAATATATATCGACTCAATTAGAGCTCTCGATTTCCTGCCGATATTCAGTTTACCTGTCAGAGAACTACAGGCCAGGAAATCACCTGCAGTCCCTTCTGAGGCTTTGCCCCTCCAGGAGCCATCACCCAACATATCAGAGTTCTGAAATATATACAGTTTTGGAAGTGAGACTACAAATAAAATCAGTAAGACAAAATACCATCCAGCCTACAAGTAAGGATTATCTTTCTATTTTATACTGCAGTGGAAGTAGTAGGTACTCAGCACTCATAACTTGTGACCTACAATAAATATAAAATATCAGATACAATTCATATATAAATGTATATCTAAACTTACCATATTCTTGTGCACCTTATAGTACTACGAGGGGGAACATTAGGCAAATATAGTATATGTATAGCTAACCCATGACGAACATTAGAAATTATTTGTAGGGGATTATAATCCCAGGGTAAAATTGTGCATTACCAACCCAATATAACTAAAAGAGATAAATAATCAACAAAATATAGTTGTCACCCCTTCTATAATTAGGACTACCCCTTCTTAAGGATAGCAAAACATTTGATCGAAAAAACTTTTTATCGAATAACAATTGATCGAAAAGAACAATGATCGCAAATACATTTGATAGAAAAAGCAATTGATCGAAAAACCAATTATACATAAAATTGGAAAAAATAAAAAAAAACAACCAATTTACCTAACCTATGCGGCCTAGAGCCATCGAAAAAAAAAATTGAATTGAAAAAAATTTCTACTAGAGCAAACATTTGAGTTTAAATTGATCCAGGCCGTACAGGTTAGGTAGATTATTTATGTTTTAATTTTTCTCAATTTTTTTTGCGAAACAACCCTCTACGGCTGCAGGCCGCACAGGTTAGTTAAATAAGTTGTTTTTTATAAAAAAAAAACTTAATGCGAGAGCACAGGTTAGGTAAATTATTTTAATTTTTTTTTATAAAAAAATAATTCACCTAAAATATCCCATCCAAAGACAACTCGATCTTACTAAAATAAATATTTTGTGCCAATTAATCAGAATGTTTTAGTCTCAGTGACGATAAATCCTTTGTTAAATGAGGCAACTGTCGTTTAAGATTATCGAAAAATTTGCCGTTAGTACCCAATTTGACGATGTTATGGTATGTTGGGAATGGGTTGTTAATATACTGCGACCTAAAAGATCTGTCGCTAATGCAACAAGAAAATGTGTCAATGGCTATAACGACCCTTTTAATCCTATCTTCTCAGGGGAGTGTAGGATTTGGAGTGGCTTCAAGTTAGGTAAATCTCCCTCTTCTATTTGATATGCTACTAGGTATAGTGCCCTTGGATTCAGGATTCAAGCAGAATGTGAATGGAGGTTTCGTCCTCCTCTTCACGTAATCTGCACTACCCATCTTCTACTTCTCTCAGTTTACTGTGCCCGTTGAGTCGGCAATGCCCAGTGAGGATCAATGTTACAATGTGAAGTCTGTTCTTGCTAAGGCAGATACAGGCTTCCGGATCTTTTCTGGTTATATTTATCCAGATGTATCTTAGCCTGTCTTAGGACCAAGAGATTGTTCTAATTATCGGTTCTTCTACTTCCCATTCTTTTTTAATCTCTCCTAATATTGTGTTACTGTTGATTGATACCGCAGAATGGATCACTCAGGTCCCACAAAGGGTGTTTGAGCCCCTTTTCCTATTAATTTGTAATTTAACAGTATTGTAAGAATAACAATTGTTAAATGAGATTATCGAAAAATTTGCCATTTGCACCTAATTTGACGATAGGCGTTGAGTTTAGATCCACCGGTAATAGGGATTAAATGGACGGTTGCGTGGTGTTGTTGAATTTTTTTATATATTGCTATTTTTAATATTGATTTTTCGATCTAATTAATTTTAGATCTACTGTCTTTTGATAAAATATATCTTCGATAAAATGTATTTTCGATCAAATTTTCAATTCCATCATATGTTTTTCGATCAATTTTGTGCCACCCAGAGATTACATGTTCAAGTTTCTATTCTTGGTATTTTGAAGCACTTTATTAGAAGCTAATACACCAATATATTTAAAGAACGGATAACTTATAGGATTGCTGCCTTAAATTTGTGAAATCGCCATGCCATATCATAAAACTGCCGTATTTCAGTAGCTCATTTAATTTTTTTTTAAAATCATTGTTTATATGATATCTATAATCATTCAGCGTAACGTAGGTTAAGTTAGTTTTAGGCTTTGTAATATGGATGAGTTGACTGGCCGTTAGGCTAGACTACAAAAAAAGATTACCAAAACAGCTGTAAGATGGCGTTGTTAGAAATGAACTTGGGTGAAACTTTTCGGAAAGTATAAAATTGGAGATTTTATGTACTGTTCCAAGGGCTACAGTAGAAAGTAAAAAGTGCTTTTAGACTCTAAAAAATAATTAAGACTTTTCTAAACGTACCATTTGGGAACACGAGACCGAGACAGGAGGTAAGCGACCGCGTAAGGCGACCGAAATGTGTTTACGTCTGAATCACATGTGATTAAATGACAGCGAAACTGATGAAAGAGACGCGACAGCACTTTTAACACGGCAGTGTTTGTTGCCTGTCGCCTTGCATCGGTCTCGCGTTCCCAAATATTTAATAATTTAAGAAACACAATGGGAGCTTTAGCAATGTTAAACATTGAAAAACCTTTCAATTAGAAGTATTTTTAATTTTAATAAGCCAGTCATTGAATATTTCCCCAACCAGAAGGACAGAAGGATCGATTTGATTTATAAACAATAAACGCATAAATGAGAAACTCGAGTGTGGTGCATAGTGAAACGAGTGCAATGAAGTTATCGTACTGAAGCGCGTCTGAGCGAAGGGTGTGCAGCGTAACGAGCGAAATATCAATAATTTCTCGTATCTTTATAAAAAGTAATTTATCCTTGGAATAATCTCAATATTAGGTTTTATTTTTTATAATAATTGTCTAATAGATATCTCAAGGGATGTGTCCTTTATTTGGTCCATTTAAAAGTCAAAATCAAAAATATTAAAAATAAGTCAGTGCCTAACGATCCAAAAAAATTTTCGAGTTCGGGACAGTAAATTTTCGAGTTCGGGACAGTTTGGTTTTGCCTGAGGCACTATTCACAATTTGGCCCACCTCTACAATAACCCACGAGTAGATAGCAAATCACTATTGATTTTCTATTAAAAAAATGCGTTCTTTTTCTAAAAAAAAAAAAAAAATATTAAAATTTTAATATTCCACAACTTACCTAACTGTAAAGTTGGCTACTACGGAACTAGTGACATGAAACATGCGATTAGGAATAATAAAATACTTTAAGCCACTGTTTTTTAATATATTCACAGATTGTATATTTTTGTGATTTACAATTGTTATAAATAGAATTGCACAGGTAGAAAAATTGTATCTACAAAACATCTCACAATAAGATCCCACTCTTTACCATACCATAAAACTGTTGTATATTTAATGATAATCTCGAAAAATAAAAATAAATTAAATTCAAAATCATACAATTAAAAATTTGTCACACAAAAATATACAGGGATTGCTAATTTCTACACCTTGAAGCTAATTTACTTTAAAGTTTGCATTTGACACAATACAATTAGTTATTATTACTTACTCCATGCTTTTCAAAAATTTTTACAAAGTTCAATGTAACGAATTTTTTTTGTAAACAAAAAATTAATTTAGCCATAATTATGGTACAACAAATTTAAAGATTCTCAAAATATCTAAATCTACCTTGTGTTAATATTTTTCTCTTGCAACATAAAAAATTAATTTAGCCCTAATTATGGTACAACAAATTTAAAGATTCTCAAAATATCTAAATCTATCTTGCGTTTATTTTTCTCTTGCAACTTCGAAGAAATTAATTTTGTGCATGGTCATAGAAATTGTATTTGAATAAAATGTATATTCCAAAGTAAGTATGGGTTCGTCCATATATTACATGACACTTTAAAAGGGTGGAGGGGAAATCAGCCTTCTATGACGATCATTTCAAAAAGGAAAATCACTACAAAATATAATTAATGAATTAACCCTATTTAATAAACATGATTAACTTTTATTATTTATCCTGCTCCACTATGTTGAACAGTCATTGGTTTGGCTTTTGTCATGTTTTCAATAATGATTATTAAAAAACATTTTTTTACACATCTTAAGTATAGAATTTATAAAAAATTCATTCAGTGTAAACTTCTATTTTTTATTGACAGGATATACACTAAGAAAAATTTTTATGGACCAGAATATCAAAGCTAAAACAGTTTTCTTAGTGTACCATATAAATACTGATTCAAATATTTTTTTATATTTTTCCGTTTTTAAATTAACCAAGATATAAAAAGACGAGGTCAGATATTAACCATTATGGGTAGTTCTTGAAATAAACTTATCATTTATGATCACACAAATCACTTACATGTTAAAATAGCCATGAGATTGTTTTCTAATACTGGCACAATAGTATATTACATTACGAGTGTGGAAAGTGACATTTTTCACACGAGTGGGGAATATTGTAGCACGAGGCGCAAGCCGAGTGCGACTATCACACGAGTGTGGAAAATCACTTTTCACATAAGTGATATACAATATTTTTTCTACGACCACAAAATAATGTCCTCAAAAAAATGTAAAACCAAGGTTATTATTACTATAATAATTAAAATGTATTTACAAAAATAATCAACAATAATCGTATTTATTATTTTCATATTTTCTAAACAAAAAAAACTAAAAAATTCTGCCCCGCCAGGATTTGAACGCGGACAAAAAATGGCAAAGTTGATAAGTTCGACGTCCTAACCACCTGAGCTAATAGCAAACATTATTTTAAAATTATTTTAATAATAATTGTTAAAGATAAATATCTAGGATCTAATTTACAACAATTTCAATAATTTAACAATCATATCGATTTTAGTATTAATATGGACATTACATAGATCAAAATAGAAATTAGGTGTTTGACATTTTGTGACAACTACTGCGGAAAGTAACATATTATCACTCGGGTGGAAAGTAAATTCTTATTCATACGCGTATGATATAGGGCACTTTCCATAGGACTATATAGTGTGATATGTGTCACTTTCCTAAGTGGTCGTAGGAAAAAATGTTTTTTATCTGTATGAATAGATAAATCTTATTTAAGATATTGCTTGAATCTAAGGATATAAAAATATGAACATTGAATTTTTAAGACAAGAAAAACTAAAAACGCTTTTCTGATCCATTTACATTTTCACTTTTTTTTTATAGGTTCTTTACAATAATATGCAAGCATGTGATTAACATAAAATACAGAGAAATTATGTAAATGTTTAAAATAATCAGTTACAATCCAACATATCAAACTAAAATTCAAATTAACCTTAAGTGAGAACCCTATACATCTAAATGATTAGAAAATACTCTTCAATTAGATGTTTCAATCTATTGCCACAGACCAGCGTAATTCCCTGTAAGAGTAGCCGGTAATGGACCACCAGCAGTAAAAAGTCTAGTTCCGCTATTATCATAGCAGTGTGTATAAATAGCTGGTACATACTTAACATTCTGGTGATTATCTACATATTCTTCATCAGGAAACTAAAAAATAATATTTAAAGTATCATGATAGATATTTATTCTATTATTAAACTTACCACGTAGCCTTTACTGGCCTTAAGTACAACTGTCCTTGAAGAATTTATACTAGAATCTAGATACTTTCCCGCTTTCAAGTCATAAAACATCAGCATGCCTAACCCTGTACCTACTGTCAAAACATCCCCTTGAAAACTTGCTGATCTAATTCCACAACCTGAGTACCGAGAATTTACTTTTTTGACAGCCTAAAACAAGTAAAAACAATAAGTTTGCAAAAGAACTATGTCATTTGTATGATACATGACATAAAAATAAAGTTTATTCACCTGTAATGTTCTACAATCTAGTAATAATGTATAAGATCTACATCCGATAGCATACAATCCAGATTCTTGTACAGCTAAACAAACATTTTCTTGAGCTGAAGGCAATTTTCTAGATAATTTTTGTTTAAATGTTTCAGCATTCCATATATGAATATAACCATTTAAACTTAAAGCTGCTATTTCATCATATTTTTTATTAAATGTTAAAGCCCTAACCTAAAAAATATAATTTGTAATATTATGGGAATAATTAGAACAAAAGAAAATCCTTTACTGCCCAAACAGGAATACACCCAATTACAGGACAGCTTAAATACGAATAAGGGTGAAACAGGTATATTAATAATAAACACAAATAAGAATAGTAATGAAGATCCAAATTTAACAAAAATAGACAAATGTAATGAAAGAAAGAAAGACACTGACTAATTTATGATAATATTTTGATGCTATCCTTAAACTGATTTAATGAACATGAGAATGGGTCAATCCGTTTAGTATTTTCATTAAAATCGATGCACATTCTATTTAAGGGAGAGTTCATCGTGGTGGTTCGTTCAGGGGGTGGAGATGTCTGCTCATTTCTCCTATTTAGTCGTAATACATATAAATTAATTTGTTCTAGGAGCTCTGGACAATCAATTAAATTATTCATTAACTCAAGAGATGAGAAGAACCGGTTTAATAGTATATTGTTGTTGATACCTTGCTCCAATTTCCATTATTATATAAAGAAAGATAATGCACAGACAAGTGTTCACTCACGTGAATGTCAGATCTGTAAATATGTATATTAAATTGTTTTAAGTAAAAACTTGTAAATCTAAATATTGTTATTAAACTTATTAAACTTCATGAATATTATCTGAACAGATTCGATTTGGTCAATGTAAATATTGTATCCAGGTGACCAGACAATTTAACAGTATTCTAGGCGCGATCTTACATAAGTCATAAGTGTTGAATAGGGTTTCTAAACATTTAATGTTATTAGTCTTTGTAGTTACGAAAAATAAAACCCAATGTTTTATTTGCAGATGCTATGGTTTTTGTTAAATGTGATGAAAAACTTAAATTGTTGCTAAAGAAAATACCTAGATTCTTTGCTTCATCTAGGTTTTCCAGTGAAATGTTGTTAATTGTGTAATTAAATCGAGGTACATTACTTTTTAAAGTAAAAGTTGCGCAATTACATTTTAAGCTATTGCATAGCTTTTATCGCGGGCTTTGAGCGTGGCGACCGAATCAAGAAAAAAAAACGAAACCGTAACGAAAAAAAACAACACCCCCCACTCCGACCGGCACAGCGGTGCGGCGTTAAACAATATTAACTTCTCATTTATTCAATAAAAGAAAATCGAAAAAGAAATTCCGTAACGAAAATAAACCTAACTCCGACCGGCACAGCGGGGCGTCGTTGAAAGCCGTGCATCGTCTAACGTCGTTTCAGTTCGGCAGACTTAGGCACGGTGTTTGTGTGCGACTAGACTTATGCGTGTAGACTAGCTACCAACTACTCATAACTGATTCTATCTCTTGTAGACACAATTAAAAATGAATAGTGATCCACAAGTATCCACAACAAAATATGGGACCACCATTGACGCGGTATTTTCCAGATATTTAGAGGATATCAAGTCTCAAACTTATGTTTCTTATTTCAGTTACCATAAACCTATAGTTTCAATGATAAAAATTCCTAAATGACCTACATGTATTGTAAGATAATAAAAATATTTTAAACAATATATCAACTTCTCATTTATTCAATAAAAGAAAAAAAATTGTTTCCTTATCGGTCACCACGCTCAAAAAGTGTAACTTGAATTAATATCAAAGAAAAAAAATACTGCATAAATAAAATAAATAATTATAATAGCATAAGTTGATAAATGCTATGCAATAGCTTTACCGCGGCAGTCCCGGAGTGCCATACGTATTTTTTAAATATTCAAGGGTAACTTATTTGTCTTACCAGTTGTACAGCGTTGTCAAGTCTTGTTGCAAGATTCGCAATCTGACACTGTTTCTACAGCTTTGTAAAATTTACAATCATCCGCAAAGAGGACCTTTTTGCTTTTAATTAGATTGGGTAAATCATTTATAAATAGACAGAATAGTAGTGGAGCTAAATTAATACCTTGAGGAGCGCCACTTGTAGCTAAAAATTTATATAACTGGTATCCTCTGTATTCAACAAAGAGTATACGATTGGAGAGGTATGAATGGAAAAATTGTTAATATATTTGCATCAAAACCATAATATTAGTCTATATAGTTTTTTGATAAGCACATTGTGATAGATTACATCAAGCTGTAATTTATTACTGATATTTTGGCAGACAAGGAACATAAATTTGTAGCAGTGGATCTTTTGGATATAAATCCATGTTGCTGGACCATGATTCTGTTATAGCAACAATTTGATAGTCACAGGCTACAGATGACTTGTAAAAATCATGGCTTTTAGAATAAATCAATCCCAAAAAAACTGTATAGAGTAGGAATTGTAGGGCGGAGACGATCAAAACATGTGGACTTACCTTTTGTGCACTTCTACAATCTTTTATAGAAACTGCTTGTATATGGCGGTGTCTAGGAATTTCTTCCTTACTGTCTAACATATCAGGAGTTACTCTCCATAATGCCATTTTTGTATCTCGTGAACCTGATACTAGGAACTCATCGTCTAACCAACACATGTCAAATACCTGAAACACATAATAAAATTTCAATCCACCAAAATCCCCTCTTGGGGTAAATTACGAGGATAGATCGGAATGTTTCTAGAGTGAATCAGGAGATGGCGCTACGCGCACGATGCGATTACTTTGTTTTAAAGCACCACTGTTTGTACAACTGCTGTCATATTTTCAAATAGAGGGTGTCGTTAATATCGATCCAAGTAAACAATTCCTGCATTTTGTTAATAATGAATAAAAACGAGTATCATGTGGTGACAAAAGATTGGAAAAGTTTAAAAAATTGGTCTGGGTCATATTTGTGAGGCACATATCAAACAGTATCTTTGAATAAGCAAGTTTCTAAAAAGTGTCTTGTTTGGTGTTGGGTTTTATAGGGATTTGTTTTGGGTTCCCTTCTTTTTCTCTTATTTTAATGATATGGAATATTTAAACACTGGTGGAAGATTCACAATTTTTGCAGATGACACCAATATTTTATGGCTTGCCACAAATTCAACTGTTTTATCTGAAATGATTAATTCAGATATAATCAAAATTAAAAATTGATGTGATGCTAACCTTCTCTCTTTCAATATTTCCAAAACGAATATTATGACTTTTAAATGTCAATTATCGGATGTTCATTTGGGAGGAAATGTTACTGATAACAGGCAAGAAAATAAGTTCTTGGAGCTCCATATTGACTATAATTTAAAATTTGGTAATCATGTAGATAAGTTATGTATGAAATTATCTTCTGGATGTTTCGCTTTAAGGTCTGTGGCAGCGCATCTCCGTTTCTCAGCTACAAAAAGTTTGTATTTTTCTATAATTGAGTCACATTTAAGATAGGTATTTGTTTTGGGAGTCGTGTTCTTTAGAATTAGGGTATTTCTTCTCCAAAAAAGAGCTGTATGTTATTTATGTAAAGTTTCTGCAGAAACATCAAGCAGGCCTCTACATCATAAAATCTTCACTATAATAAAGTTGTACATTTTTGAGATTTGTTTGCTTGTGTTAAAAAATACAAAAATGATATACGTATATTATCAAATCGCAATTCCAGATTAACTTATTATATACCAGTGGCAATACCAACCTCTAATATGATATTGAAGTCTTTAGTATACGAGGCCTGTCTAAAAAGTATCCGACCTTTGACTAAAAAAAATATTTCAAATACCTGACGGAGTTAGGACCCTAATCCCCTTCAAAGTAGGCCCCTTGTGCTTGCACACACTTAACCCACCGATCTTTCCACTGCTGGAAACACCTCTGGAAGTCTTCTTTTGGAATGGTGTTGAGCTCCGTCGTCGCGTTCCGCATTATCTCTTCTCTACTCTCAAAACGGGATCCTTTCAGTGGTGTCTTCAATTTTGGAAACAACCAGAAGTCGCAAGGAGAGTAGGGAGGTTGGCGAACGGTTGTAATTCCATGTTTGGCTAAGAAAGTGTTGATTAGTTGGGATGAATGTGCAGGGGCGTTGTCATGATGCAAGTGCCAGTTGTTCGCCGTCCACATGTCTGGTCTTTTGCGCCGAACTGCGTCACGGAGTCGCCGGAGAACATCTTGATAGTACTCCTTTGTCACTGTTTGTCCTTCCGGTGCGTATTCGTGATGCACAATTCCACGGACATCAAAGAAAACAGTCAGCATCACTTTGATTTTGCTTCGCACCTGACGCGCTTTCTTCGGCCTTGGAGAATCGGAATGCTTCCATTGCGACGACTGTCTTTTTGTTTCTGGGTCGTACCCGTACACCCATGACTCATCTCAAGTTATCACGGTGTTCAGAAACCCAGGATCAGTATTGACGGTGTCCAGAAGGTCTTGTGCAATGTCAAAACGAAGATCTTTTTGTTCCGGCGACAACAACTTGGGTACGAATTTCGCAGCCACCCGGTACATGTTCAAATCTTCACGCAAAATTGCATGTGCAGTATCTTTACTCACTCCAACCTCTTCTGCAATCTCCCGCACTGTCAAACGACGATCTGCCATTATCAAATTTCGCACCCTCTCAACATTAGCTGCACTCCGAGCAGTTTGGGGCCTGCCACAACGCTGCTCAATCTCCGCTGATGTGCGGCCATCTTTGAATCGGTTGAACCACTCCTTAATTTGTGTTACACCCATCGCATCTTCTCCAAACACCTGCTGAATCTTACGAATTGTTTGGCTTTGAGAATCACCAAGCTTTTGACAGAATTTGATGCAGTATCTTTGCTCAATTCGTTCAGTCATCTTGCGAGAAAACTAAATCCGACGAACACTAAGAACAGCACCTTACTTGGCGACCAGCAACTTGCACAAGCGAACGCGGTGAAAAAATTCAAGCATGCGCATTAAGGCTGCTCCTTCCACCGTGCACAGTGGCGCCGCCTTAGAATCACTACTTTGCGCGGGAAAAATTAAGGTCGGATACTTTTTAGACAGGCCTCGTATAATGGGAAAACAAATTCAATCACCTGCCATTAGAATTAAGAAAGACTAAAAATGATAAGGCCTTTCAGAGAGAACTGAAGAGTCTACTAGCTGAGAAAACTTATTATAATCTTGCAAAGTTCTTTAACGACTCATTGTAACTGATTTATTTCATTTCATATATCTTTATGTAATAAATTGTTTCCTTGTCTTTTATTTATTGTAACAAATGTTGCCTGACTGGATAATTTATTTTATACCTCCTATTTAATTTATTTTATACCTCCTATTTAATTTATTTTGGATGCGAATCGGCAATGATCAAATTTCAAATTTCTGTCTTTCTTTTTACAAAGTTCGCTAAGTTGACTAAAGTGATTTTTTAAAAAATTGGTGAAAAGAATCAAAATAATATGAAAAAAAAGTACCAGAGTACAAGTAACATGAGTGACAAAAAACATTAAAGCAAGATTTACTTTGTTCCACATTGTAAAACAGGATACAAATTACATGTAAAACTAAAGAAAACATAAGAAGCCATTATTTTGAACAGCGATACTAACACCAGCGCACTTGCGGTTTATAAAAAAAAGCTCAATTAGCGTTCGTTTTTTGGGACCGTATGCCGATTCGCCTTCTTATATCTAGTCTTCATATTCTACAGCGTTGTCAACAAGATTCTGTCTTTGCCAATAAAGCATTTTTTATATGATTTGATTAAGGTGCTTCCTATTAAAAATCTTCTTAAGAGTGATTAACATTATTATGATTTTAAGAATGCTGACTACTTTGGTTCGACTTTTTTTTTATCAAATATTAAATTCAATAGGCTGATTTAAAAACTATGGGAATATTTATAACAATAAATTTTCTGTATTAAGATCTGAAAGTAAATGCATCTCTAAACAATTTTGCAAATTATATTTAATATTTCATGATGATAAAGTTTGCAATACCAATCAAGGAATTGCTGACTTATTTGCTGATTTTCTAAAATTTAAGTGTGAAGTTGCTGATTGTCTCTCTATATCAAACAGTCGTTAGATTTAAAATGTTTTCCCACATTATGGAGGTCTAAGTTCGGTGATCCTGTATATCAGTATGCTACTGATCATATCCAACTTTTTTGAAAAACTTTTGATCGGTCCTTTGTCTTAGTATTGATAGTGGCAGTGATATCATTATTAATCAACAACATGATTTTATTGTGGGTAGATCTGATTTTAGTAAAGCTTTTGTCTGTGTTAATCACACTTTATTGCTTATTTAAATTAAAAACGCTTGGCCTTTCTAATGCTTTTTTGACTAAGCTTGAAGGATATTTAAAAAACAGAGTTCAAATGCTGAGAATAGGATAGTAGTCTATCCATCCAATATGACATACCATCAAGATTTTCCATTTGGGACCATTATTGTTCTTATTATATTTTAATTATATTGAAGATATTTTCCAACATAAGTAGTAATTTTCTTCCTTTTTTCCATGAGGTAAGAGCACCAGTAATTGACACTTTAAAATTCAAACTCTTCTAATAAGGACATGTGTTCAGATTTGTACATAATTCTCTGTCAGGACGAACCTCTAATTTCTGACAAACACTGTAAAATCATCGAAGGTCACAGTTTTAGTGGTAAAAAATGACGCACGTTGTGTCATACACATTAATTTCGTTTTTTTTTTTTATCTAAAGAAATTTGTTAAGATGAGTACATTATAAATTAGGTTGATATTTAAATAGGATATATGAATAAAATTTTGTATAAGGTATCTTTGGGTTCTAAAACACATGGCTTTGGTAAAATTTCATAGCTCACTTAAAAGAAAGAAATCTTTATTTACTCGAAAAATACCTTTAGGTAGAGCATGTCATAGTACATAAATATATATTTTATATACATACACATTAAACACATTTATTTATAATTATTATTTTTGTTCTTAATAATCAATATTTTATATAATTACTGAATCACAGAAGAATTCGTCTAAGTTCTAATATGCTTTATCACACAGGAATGACTTCAATTTTAATTATAGTGGTTTGATTTTTAAAACCTTTAGTGCGGAAGGCATCTTATTCCAAATCTTTTGAATAGAATATTCTACATTTTTTTGGATAAAGTTATATCTTGGAATGTCCGTTTTTAGGGTGCGTATTGATCTGGCATTACTGATATGTTCAACTTCATTGATCTCAAAAAGATCGTAATTTTGTTTGATAAATATAATCGATTCAAAGCTATATAAGCACACTGTGGTTAATATCTTCTTTTGAATAACAATATCTTTACAACTATCTCGTATTTTCAACTGGAATATATTTCTAAGGCATCTTTTTTGTAAAATAAATATACGTTGTGCATCTGTTGAATTATCCAAGAAAATTATTCCATAACTAATTCTAGACTGCACATAGGCATAAGATGCGGTTAGATCAGTAGTTTGATTTATATTAGCTAAAATTATTCTTAAAGCGTACCTAAATTTGTAATTATTACCCGATACTTGTTGAATGTGCCCTTTTCAGTCCAATCTCCGATCAAGCGTCACTCCCAGGAATGTGACAAGAGGTTTCTGAGATTATATTTTTGTCCTCTTATATAAATGTGAGGCTTTCATCCATGCCAAGACTAAAATTAATCACTTAACAGGACATTTATCAGGAAATTATTGTTTTTAAACCGATGTTCTAATGTACTGTAATGCGAGCTATTTCATTATTCAGTCATGCTCTAATCCTCCAAGTCCCTCTGTCTTATTTGGCCTTTGAGGCTCAACTTTTCCTATTATCATACATAATTAAACCCCTTAAGATCAAACATATGTGACGACTATGGCGCAGGCGCTTTCGAGTACATTCCAGAGTGAACGTGATAATGTTTCTAGTATTGGTAAGAATTGGTGAAGAAAATTATAGTACCTTCGCCAAAATTTTAAATGTGTATATAAATATTGGTGGAGGAACAACGCGGCAGGGAGTTGTTTATTAACAAATAAACTGTTTAAAATAAACAAACATTACAGTATTTAATGTGGAATTTAGTTTTCCCTTGCATAAATCAAGTGTTGTTTCACTAAAAATCAATGAGGTGTCATCTGCATATTGTACTAAAATTTCATTAACAACTTCTGGTAGTTAACTTACATATACTATGTAGAGTAAAGGACCCAATACGGAACCCTGTGGCACACCTTTTTTTTTATAGATTTAATATCTGATTTAACTAGACTATTGTTATCGTCAAAATCTGTGACACATTGTTGTCTATGATTTCATAAGAAGCAGTGGTACCCCTATGATTCCCATTAATTCCAGTTTCCTACATAGAATGTTAATATCAACACTATCAAAGGCTTTAAGACAGGTCCAAACATAGCGCCGACGTCTTTTGATTTTTATTTAAGGATTCAGTCATTCTGAAGCCATTCTGACAGTTTGATAAAACTTCATTACTTTCTAAGAAGGTCTCAATTTTGCTAAATATAATTGTTTCAAATATTTTGTTTATATTAGAAAGTAAGGAGACTGGTCTGTAATTTTTAACATCACATTTTTCAACTTTTTTATATATTGCCCACACATAAGCTAGTTTTGCTAGTTTTAATTATATGATTTAATTTAAAGAAAAAGCAATTTGGCTTGCTGCTTCTTTTAAAAGGACCACTGGTACTACCTACATATTTTTTATTGTTCTTATTATCTCCCTAGGTGATGTCAAACTGAAAGTTTCATTGATTGTTATTATATTGTATTAATTTATTACTTCTTCTTGTGCAATGTCAGGACAGGCAGTAATGAAAAATTGGTTTGTCATGTTTAGGATATTCAATGTATCTGTTGATGCCAAAGCTGCATCTTTCCTACTAATATTTTCTAAAAAGGAGTTTTTTCTTGAATTATTTTTTGTTATTTCTTTTACCAGTGACCAAGTGGCTTTGCTTTTATTATCAGATTTCAGATGAACTCTTCAAACCTAAATTTTAGTGGTCGATAACTAGGTATGCATACGCATGTTATTCTCCGGTATTTGGTACTTTTAGTCAATTACTGGGGTATTATGGGGCTCCAGTGCTTGACTCCTTAATGCTGCCTTTGTAGTGAAATTGTCAATAACTGGTAAACCTGTCAATAACTGGTGAAACTGTCAATAAATGGGGCGTCAATAACTGGTGAAACTGTCGATAACTGAGGCGATGTTAACTGTCAAAGGTGTCGATAACTGAGGTGGCGATAACTGGTAAAAGGGTGTGGATAACTAGTGTATCCAAAATTACATTAAATTGTCATGTTCTACTAGTGTCGATTAATGGTGCTCTTGCCTTAGGTTGTTCAATAAATAAATATAAAAAAATTACAATACAAAATTAAACTTTCTCAATTATCGTTGATTAAGAAATGAGGTACATTTCCTTATTTAATAATTTTGGTAACACAAAGTAATCATTTCTGTATCAGATCCTTATCTGATAATACAAAATAGTAATTTCCTAATTATGTTAATCATGTGTACCATAAAATTTCCCACATTCTGTCATTTAAATTTTATAAATAATAAACAATATACTATTGCAAGTCTTCAAACTAGGACATTTTTTACTGGACCTCTGAAATGTTATACTTTGGACCCATAGTGTTGAATAGCTATCAAATCATCTTTGAGAATATTATACAAATTTGTAATAATATATAGGGTGTTCTATTAAAAAAAAAGTTAAGAACTGAAAATTCACAAAAATTATTCACAGAAAAATCATTCACTACTTACAAAGATGTTTATAGATATGGCATGATTTTCAATTTGAATGTATTTTTGGTTTGTCACATTGGTAGTAGGTATTTCTTGAAAAGAAATATGTTTTTAGCCAAATTATACAAAAATTTAATGCCAAAGTAATTTATGCATTCAAATTACTTTTACAAAGCTTGTTTTTCTTTAAATAATATGCACCATTAAATATAAAAATTTTAATTTTTCATTAGAATAAAAGTATTTTTCATTTTTTACCTAGATAATGGAAGGTCAAATTTAATAGGCATTGCATAATAAACCTAAAATTAAAGTTCTTACCCAATCTTTATGAGCACTTTCACCAACACAAATTGGATCTAAAGTAGGAAGCCTATAAATAGCAATATCACATGTATTTCTGGCCCCAGTGGCCAGTAGAGTCCTTGAAGGGTTGATTTGTACTGAATGAATACCACATTGTTGTTGTACCTCATTGCCCATTAAATTTCTCTTGCTTATTAGTGAGGGTATTTGATCTATTTTATGTGTAACTACATCATATACCATTAACTGCAATCAAAATGTACACAAAATACATTAAGATTACTATAAATTAAATGCTCTATACTGTATCCCAGCTAGCACATAACATTGCCAAGCCTTTCGTCGATATTGTTTTAAGTAAATGTAATAACATTACTATACAACGTAAATGCAACGTTCAAGGGAGGTTGTTGAGGGAAATCAAAACCTCACAAAACTTCTATTTGTTATTTACCTATTTAACCTACCTGTTATGTTAATACAACGTAATAATGTAATTTGCTATAAAATGTATCCATGAGAAGTATTGTAAACATCACATTGTGTTTTCGATCTAGCCATCTGTATCCATAATAATACAAATACATAACCCTAAACTTGTCTCTTGTCTGTCTAGTTTCCTGTCCAGTTTTTGGTAAGTTGCCAATAAAAATAAAATAAAAAAATATTTTTCAATTCATTATCTGCTGTTTTAGATTGCAGTGCCTAGTGTAAAACTAATATTTCAATATTACCGAAAACAAAATGATTTTTTCAGTTTTCAACTACAATAAAAAAAAATGGAGGATGAAACATTGTAAACAAGAAGATATATTTAACAATGACTGTCTACATTTTACATCAAATGATTATAAAAGAAATTTACAAAATAACTTCTGGGTCATATAGGGTGACCATATTTATTTTGAGCTCTGAACATAAATACAACATTGATGAACTTTCGCAAGGCAAAGATTTTTTTTTAGCTTCCAACTATAAAAATACAAAACAGAGAAGTCATATACCTAGCTTACGTGCTCATGTAGCTTTCCAAAGATATATAACATGTTCATTTGTTACGTTTCAGTAAATTATGTATCTATTACATTGCTAGACAATAATGGTGTGTTGCTGGACAAATTATGGCAGTTTGCTCTACATTTACTGTATAAGATCAAATGCTGGACAGACTTTGAAAATGCTGTACAAGATACTAATAAGGTAATAATATTCTTAATTACCAAAATACATTTTAAAAATATTATATTGTAGGTTTCCTTTGTGCTGGATGATATGATAATTCTAGGCAAAATTCAGGAACTTTAGATGCAAAAATGAATACTACAGAAACGAAAGAATATATAACACCTGAAAAAAAAAAACAGATCCAAGCAGTTCATTTTCTTCATCAGGTTTGATGTACCTGGGAATCACAAATGATTCTCTTAAGTACATAGCAGAATATGTTGCTTTTTAAAAAATCTATATACCTAACTTAATCAAACATCAGATAAGTAAAATTTAAAAAAAAATCAATAAGTAAAAATAAGTGCAACAATTTAAACAAGTAAGTAAATATTTTTTTATTAAATATCTATAGCTGCCTTCAATGAGTGTATTGGATTCTTGCTGCGATTCGGGTAGCAGGATCAGCTTGCTGAATATTACAATCAATTTGCAAAAATTAAATTTGTGTAAAACATCGTTTCTATTTTAATGATGAAATCATTACTGTGTTGTGTAAACTCGAGGCAAAATTTACTTGTGGTTACGATAACATACCTAGCTTATTTGTAAAAGTCTGCGCACTAATATACTTGCAATCCCTCTTTGCAAAATATTTAACATGACTCTACAAAACGACTTCCCTGAGGTCTGGAAGTTGTCAAAAATAATTTCTATATTTAAAACTGGTAAGATCAATGACATTACTAACTACTGCCTTATTATCCAACTTTTCAAAGGCCTTCGAGATGGCAATGTACAGAGTAAAAAATTTCAGAACATGGTTTTATTTGTCAAAAATCAAATGTCACATCTAATGTGCTTTATACAAAAAGTCAGTCATGCTATTGACTCGCAAAAACAAACTGATACCATCTATACTGACTTATCAAAGACCTTTGACAAATAGATCATAGCACTCTTCTAAAAAAAAAAAAAAATGGAAAGTTTCAGTTTTCGATCATGACCTTATCGCTATATTTCAGTCTTATCTCAGAAATCGCAAGCTCTATGTTGAATTTATAGGCCACAAATCCTACCAGTTTATGGCAAACCAGTGGTGCTCCACAGGGCAGCAATCTAGCACCTCTATTGTTTTCTCTATTTGTAAACGACATTGGAGAAAACTTTTTAAGTGACTACTTATTATTTGCAGATGACCTAAATATTTTTAGAGCCATCAATTCACTAGACGATTGCTTGATATTGCAGAATGATCTAGATATTTTGCACCAATGGTGTACTGAGAACAAATTATCACTTAATATTGAAAAATGCAAATTAGTTTGTTTTTCTTTAAAAACCAATAATACAATGTTCCAATATTCTATTAATAATACTCCACTAGTGGCAGTTGATTAAACAAAAGATCTTGGTATTATTTTAGATAGTAAACTTAGGTTTTCAGAACATATGAATAAAATGGTACTAAATGCAAAGAAAATGTTCGGATTTATTTGTCGAACTTGCAAAGACTTTAATTCTTTTCATTGCTTAAAAGTCCTCTATTTTGCCCATATTAGATCTCGCATAGAATATGCTGCCTTAATCTGGAGTCCATTGCATAATTTATATAATTCCCACATAGAAAATGTTCAAAGGTCATTTCTAAAATATTTATCATTTATATTGGATGGCAGATATCTACCACAGGGATTTAATCATAGCCTGTTACTAAATAGATTTGCATTGTCCCTTTCTATTCGTAAAAAATATAATTCCTGTATATTTACTTACAAATTAGTCAATGGTAAAATAAACTGCTCAGAATTGTTAAACTACCTAAATGTTCATATCCCACCCATTGAAAGAACGTCACATCAATGCTTTTATCTCCTGACTGCAAGAACTAACATTTTTATCAAATCACCAGTTTAAACATTTTGCTCAAATTATAATGAATTTTGTACACTGAATGCCATTTACTTTGATTCTTTAGCATCATTCAAAAGAAATATTTACCAAAATTTGGGTCAATAATAAATGCAAAAGTGTTGTTATTATCACTGTTATCATTATTTATTGTTAGTATTATTGTTATTATTATGCCATTTTATTATTATGCAAGTGGGCTAAGAATTTTAATTTATGCATTCCTTTAAAATATAAATTAAAACAAAGGTTAGATGATGCTAAGGTACTGAATAAAAAATAAAATTACAATTATTTTTGTTAGTGATAATAATATTTATATAATTATTATTAGGTTAAGTTAGGCTAGTTAAGCCAAATATTAACTGTATAGTTTGTCCTGTAATTGGGTTTTTTCCTGTTGGACAATAAACAATTTTTTTTATAGGTATTTTATAGTATCACACATGTGTAATTGAGTTACTTTGTGATATACCGATCTTATTATTATTATTATTAATATCTACCTCTATTGTGATATTGGTACTTGATTTCAAGAACATTTTAATAATAAATTTATATCATTTAATATTTTGTTTTATTTAAAATGTCTGTCTCATTGATATTTTACTATAACCTCGAATTTCAATCATTCAATCTCTCAGTTAATAAACAACAATATAATGTGTCCACAGTTGGACTTAACTATACTTGTAAAAATATTTATTTTAAATTAATATAAGTAATTTTTCATAATTTCTCAATGTGCATCCTATTTACTTAACAACCAAAAGAATTTATGAAGAATTAATTCCATTTTTTATTTAAAAAAATATTTTTAAAAGTATAGTTAAGTGTTAAGTCCATCTGTGGACACATTATAATGCTGTAGAACTAACTCACATTATAACATCTAACTTTTCAGAATTACTTTAGGGGGAAAGTAATGTAAAACTCCTAATGTGATGTTTTCTGAACTTCACTTTGTAACCTCTATGAGATGGGCTATAAGTCTTGCAGTTGCAGACATTTGGCAGTTGCATGGATATTAGGATTACATTAAAAGTACATTGCATGCGAGCTTAAAGAGCCTAAAATTGCAACTTATTAATGTAGATGGGATGTTTTTGTGCTAGCTGGGTTGTTATAAAAATATAAAAAAAAGAAAAAATATTACCATCTTTGATTATTTTGGTGCTAAAACTCACCTTATTACACTTAGTTCCAAAAACAACTTGCCTATCACTCAACCATTGAGAACAAAACACTTTATTCATATTACCTAAACTAATTGGAGTCTCTTTAAACATTTCATGTGTTAACATATGTCTACTTCCATAATCAGTCGAAACAGAACTCAATTTTGAACACTGTATTTCCCGATTCCTAATGTAATCTACAAAGTTAAAAGAAGTGTTTAAAATATCTTTTTGAACGAAAACAGGCTCCTCATCACTATCACTGTCTTCGTACGTTATAAAATCTTCTGGCTTCTCAGTTTTTCTGCTTTGTTCTAATTTTAAAGCTTTCAATCTGGCTTTTCTATCATCCAACCTCTGTTTTACCGAACAAGATGGGGATCGTCCAAATATTGGACTCATATGTGTTTTGGACATTTCTTTATAAAAGAAAACCTGTAAGAAATTTTATAGCCTTAACTATATGGTAATTTTGAAGTGTTCCATGGATGTGAAAGTCCAAAAATATTAAAAGTTTTTAACACAAACAAATGTTCTCAAAAAATTAGTGACAATCGAACTACCAGACAATCAGACAAAAGATAAATAAAGTGACATGACATAAACCTCAAAAATTATGTCCGCTTACTTTTAAAACAATCAGCCACTTGTAAATTCAATAATAAAAAAAGGTACGTTTGTGATAAAAGATCGAAATATCGTATGATCGAATTGATATGAAAGATCCAAAGCACTTACGAAATTAATTATTTTTTTATATTTCTTATATGTAAAAAAAATGCGAAGCAATCGCGATGGCTGCAGGCCGCACAGGTTAGGTAATTGGTTGTTTTTTATTTTTCTCATTTTTTGTGACCTAAGTGGCAATAAAACAGTCATAAACTATAACCATCTTTGGCCCACAGGTTACAGCAGGAGTGCGTTTAGAAACCTCGCACGGCACGTCTCACCACATACATTAGAATAGGGTCCAGACGCGCCGTGCGTGGTTTCTAAACGCACTCCAGCATACTTGGAATTTATTATAATCAGAGTCAATAATAATTGTCTCTGGTCATAATCGTTAATCAATCAAGCCGTTTGAAAAATTCTTAAATTGTATAAACCTCAAGCATTTTTTCTTTATTAAAGCATTGGTATTTACTAGGAAAATTTCTTACATTGTCTAGGAATGAATAATAGCAGAAACAACCCAGTCTCTGATCAAAGGTTTGAGAATGTTTTGAGTATTTTCGCGATGATGTATGTGTGTGTGTCTGTATCCACCATAACTCATGCATGAACCGATACACAGAAAAACACCAAATTTTAAACTTAAGCTTTATTCCAGCGTCCAATGAACTGATTAGATTTTGGGCAGAGTCGGAACATCTGGGGGGGGGGGTACTTTATAGGTGGTTATTTTTATATTTTATGGAATATATCTGTTATTTACGTTTGGAGAAGAAAATTCTTCAAATAAAAGTTACTTCTAATATTATTATCTATAATTATATTGTAATTATAATTTTTGTTCTTTACAAAATTTTCCTAAAATGGTCCGTATTCGAGATATTTGAGAAAAATGTGTAAATTTCGAATTTTGAAGAAAACAAAAACGGATAAAGAAAAAACATTAACTTTTAAACTTGTTTTATTTCGGCCTGACGTCAAAAGATTGAATTTTGGACAAAGTCGGAACATCTGGGGGGTACTTTATGGGAGGCCGTTTTTATATTTTATGGAATGTCTGTTATGTTTGGAGAAGAAAATTGTTCAAATAAAAGCTACTTCTAATATTATTATCTATAATTTTTGCCTTATGTCAAAATTTCCTGAAATGGTCCGTATTCGAGAAATTTTACAAAATGTGCAAAATTCTAATTTTTATGAAAATTGTTGAACTAAAAGTTGTTTGCGATATCGATCTCTATAATTTTTGTTTATACATGATTTTTCTAAAATGGACCGTAATGGAAAAATTGGAGGAAAAGTGCTAAATTTAAATTTTTCAGTATTCTCGATTTCAAAGAATATCTATAGAAAAATGTTTCGAGATAGATGTATGTGGAAAATGTATATATTTAGTTTATCCTCTAAACATTTATAGAGGTGCTGCAATAGGTTGTACAAAATAACCGGAAAAAGTCTATAATAACTAGATAGGAAAGTCATGTGTTGGACACATCAGATTTTTTTATAAAAATTTGCACCACTATGATATTGCTTAATTTTCACATGCTTCTATATTCCATCTTTTAAATTATTAGAATCTTTTTCTGTAATGTTTCAGTTTCTTAACTATTATTGCCGGACAAACGCCATATTTAAATACTGTTCAATATGTTTAATTACCTGTGCGTCATGCTTAATATACATAAGAATTATACTACAAAGTTTTGAAATTAAAAATGACGCCTATGACTGCTATATAATAGGTTATTAGGTCATTTGAACATACGTCTCTGCTTATGAGACAGATATTTGTCCTGCATTTAACGTAGTAAAAAATAAAGCTACGTAAAGGAAGGATGGAGTAATAAACATTAAAATAGGGTAATAAATAGAAAATTGTGCATTATGGCATAGTAAAATTTACAAATTCGGTTGGTTCTGATAATTTCCTAAATGGTACATGAAATGAAAATGTATAAAAAAGTAAAATAAATTTATTTGTACAAAATAATTCTAAAAACATCATGATAAAGTTAAAACAAAATTCTTTTGTGCATCAATACTAGGCACAAGATTATGTCCTTTCTTGCCACTAATACTGATATTTTCAACATTAGTAATTTGACTGGCTAATAACATGCTCAGCATTCCTTGCAAAGCCACCAAATTATTTATTAAATCAGTTTCTTGTTTTAAAATTTGAGAAAGTTCAATAAAAAGTTTAGCAACCTCAGGTGGTAGCAGTGATATTGAATCTTCATATATGTCTAAAAATATGTTGGCAGCATTAATTAGAATTCTTGTGAACCGATAATCAGTTATATTTTTGATAAAGAATCGTAAAGTTTGTGTTAAAGATTTTTTGTCTCTATTTTGAAATGCTTTTTGTAAAGCCCTCCTGCGTATCAACTCTTGTATCAAAGATATTGTAATTTGAGGACTCTTATTAGCTATGTAAGGCAATAGAACACTATCTAAAGCTCTGGAGTATTCAAATTTTCTTAAATGACGATCAACCTTACTTTCTTTATCATATTTCACCTCTGTAACAATTGTATCAATGGTTGGTTTGTAAGTATTACTGATGAACTGATAAGATGCTACTTTTTTTGTAGGTTTTGAATCTTTTTCTTCTTGTTCTTCTCTTCTATTGATTGACACTAAGCCATCTACTAAGCCAGCTACTAATGTATCATCATTTTTAGAGACTCCTAGACTTAATATGGCATTAGGAAAATCTAAAGTGTGAACAGTTTTAAAAGTAGATACATCATATATCTTTACATGCCTGTCTAAACTTCCAGATAATAGCCTTTTATTGTCTGAGGCTAATGTCATACATGTTATGGTTTTATGATGTTGAGAAATATTTCCTAAAAGTCTACCACCTGCTATGCTATCCCATATTTTAATTTCAGTACCTCCTGCAGATAAAAATATGCCTCCTGCAGGTAGGAACAGTAGCGATTCAACAGGACTGCCATGATCAACAGTTATGCCTTCATTTTCAGTCCTTGTATCAAGCATTCTTATTTTATTGTCATATCCTCCAGATAGTATGATATCTGGAAGTGCTTGGCAAGTAGCACCTGCTCTAATATAGTCTGTATGGCCTTCATAAGTTGTTAAAGTTTTTTCTGTTGGAATGTCCCATATTTTAACAGTTTTATCATCTGAGAATGAGGATATTTGCGGTTTACCATACAAAAAGTGTACCCTATGAACTGGAGCTGTATGTCCTTTAAATAATCTAAAAACAAATAAATGGTTAAAAACATTTTAAATATTGGCAAAATATTTTGAAGATCAATCTGAGTTTATTTTTGCTTAATATTAATTAACAGTTTTTATGTGATTCAGAATTCCAGTAGACATTCTATTATACAAAGGTTCATAAAATTAATTCAATTATTAAAACAAATAAAATGGTTGTTCTAGAATGCAATATGAAAAAGACAGAATTGATTATTACTTAGCAAATAAATTTCACATTAGTATTTTTTAAAGTTTAACTTGTGAAATATTAAATTGTGTGCAAATATATGTATAAAAATACCTTAATAAGCTTTTAGACGAGACATCAAACAATTTAACGTTAGTTTCTTCGCCACCTGCTAGAATAAGTTTCCCGTCCCAACGAAAAACTGCACCATAAGCATTTTCTCTAAATCTAGACAAATTTTTAACTACTAACTTAGTGATTGGATTGTATACTTGTACTCGAACTGAGCATGTCACAGCAAAATAATGTGGCTCTATTGGCGAGAAATCTATGTGATCTATGGGGCCAAATTCTTTAACTAAGACAGGAACCTAAAAAGAATATAAATAAATATATTTAAAAAAAATGATTTAATATCTTACTCCTAATTTTTTCCAGTAAACATAATCTGGTGTAATTAGTTGACCTGATTTTTTGAATATTTTAGTATTTAATTTCTTAAAAGTGGGCATTTTTGAAAAATTAATAAATCCACATGATTTGGTTATAAACCATAACCCAACTTTTATCAAATATGTCAATCACAGAACACTTACTCTCCGCTAGCTTGATACATTGCGTTCGGTTTGCCACGTTCCTTTAACTCCTTTAACACTTTTTAACTCCAAACGACTCTTTTAGCGTTCGGTTTAGTCCGATTAGTGACAGTTTAACACGCTTAAATGTCATTTAAAAGCACCCTAAAATTTGTCCCGCTCCAGCCCCTGACTGACCGAACTCGCCTATAGAGCCCGCTTAAATGTCATTTAAAAGCACCCTAAAAAACTCCGCTTTTGTCCCGCTCCAGCCCCTGGCTATCCGAACTCGCCTACTGTAACATGAAATGTGTCAAAACCTTGTCCGAGGTCAAAACCCACTGGTAGCCATTTTGTTTGGAAAGCAATATAAATATAGGAATAGACTCCATGGGAATAGATATTAAAAATCTACAGTGAAATGAATTTAAAGTGGATCAGTGTAAATGAAAGGTGTTTAATTTATTTTAAAAACATATTTATACTATATAAGATAATAATTTTAGGTTAAAACAGGGCATACAGTTAATAAATGCTCTTTCAACAAAGACATTCAATTTGTTACTTTCCGATGTCATAAACATAAAAGAAGGCGAAACCTTTACTGAAGACGAATTTGGGAAACTGAAAGAATCTTTAAAGTTAAACGACGACTCATTGCAATTGCTAATTCAGTCTATCTCCCACATTTTTAAACAGTCTAATAAAGTTATAATAAAACCCACTATTCTTTATAAACAACTTTGTGAAAATATTGGTTTAGATGCTGCGAAATGCGAAGAATTCGTGAAGCTATGGTGTAATCAAACTAATCAAGATTTTGGTGATTATAGTGATAGATTAAAATTAGAACACCTAACCTGGGAATTAAATATACTGGCTTCTGATCAAATAAATCCCAAACAAAGTGTCCCAACAGCAAGGATACAACTTGAACTTGCAAAGTCTGCAAATAGCAGTGAAAAAGAGAAAGTTGTATTGGAGTTTGATCAATCAGAATTATTGCAATTGTATAGTCATTTAGAGAAAATACAACTTAAATTTGATAATATAAATACCATGTGTCATTGAATAGTTTGTCTTATTGAAAAATAAACATCTATTGAGATCATAGATTGAAATACTTTATTTTCATATTTTCTGGATTTTCCTTTTTGTTAACCACCTACAGTCTAGCATAAGAATGGTTTCTTAAGTGTGCTACAACTTTTAACTACTAATAGGCTTATTGGATGATTATTTATACATATCGAAAACATTTTCAGGCTAAATGTTAATTGCTTGTGGTTTGTCAGAAATTCTTTTTTCTATACTTTTAACACAAGTATGCCCCACCTACTTAGACTGAAATGGTAGATTTATTGTATGGTATTTGGATACATTTTTGTACAAAAAAAGGTAGTAAAAATGCATTTAGCCTATAGCTTCTTAAAACATGAAAACTAGATATATATTCGTTTTTCTTTATTATGGAAAAATTCAAATCAAAAAAGTTGTTTGAAAGTAGTACAACCTTTAAGGTTTATAAATTGCCCAAATAAATATTAATGTGCAGTGTAGTAGTAGTAACTTCTGAATTATGGATCTATGGAAATCAGAGTAACTTATATAAAAAAAAAAATAAAGATAATTCCTAACAATTGAATTGGTACTCTAGTAGAACAGTTTGAACTATATATACACACATTAAGTTATTCATACAACTCAAAGTCTATCCTGTTAGATGAATAAAAATTGGTATTTTCTGCACCAAATTTTCTAACCATTACCCCAGTTTTAAAATAATTTTCTTGGGACCATTTAGCCATCTGTGCATTTGTATAAGGTCCTTCAATCTTTTCGTCTTCTATTTTCCATTTGAATTCCCACATGAGTTCTGGTTTTTTATGGCTTTCTTCATTATCTTTATCATCAAAATTTACAACTTTTTTTGCTTTTTCTTTTTCATCGAAATCATCTGAATACATATCAAGCTCAGTTTCTGTAGTCAAAGATTTATTTTTAGTTTCACTTTTATCAACTTTTGAATTTATTTGTTCATAAGTTTCTTGGTAAACATCCATATTGCCCAGCTTTGTTAAAATTTGATTTGCTAATTCTGTGAGGTTGGTAACATCTTTGGAATCTGTTAAAGTACCAGCTTTTTTTCGTTTTAATCTTTCTACACTAGACAGTTTCATATCGGCACCTCCAAGTCGTTTCAAAGCTTTATTAACACTTTCTTTTGGTTTCATATAACTAAGCATGTTTTTGTATATACTGATTTCATCAAAATTATCTTCTTCGTTTTCTGAATCGCTCTCGGCTAAACCTTTATCATATACACTGTACTTTTTACTAGAATCCCCATTATTTTTAATTTTTTGCCAATCAATGTTGTCTAACCAACTATCTCTAATTTCTTTTTCGTTATTCCAGATGAAATGACCGTTTCTGTCAAAATGCCCTTCTTCCATTTCTTCATTCATGTTAAATGCAGTTATTTTTTGTTCCCCATCTTGTCTTGCAATACCATCTTCCTCCCCTTCTATATCATCTGTATCCAAAACATTATCTTCGTCTACATCGTCCTCTTCATCGGAGTCCAAAGTGTGTTTTTTCACAGCTTCACGTTTTGGATCTGCTACTCTAATTTTGTTTTCGATAAACGCAGTGCCATAATCTCTTTTTGCCATTTTTATTTAATAAGCTTTTCGTGTTGAAAACTGAGACAAATCATCAAAATCAAAACACGAATTTTGACTTGTGACAATGATGAGTGGTGACAGGAGACAGGGTTGTCATTAGGCATTCCAAACAAATGAATTACCAGTGGGCAGGTTTGGTATATCTAAGGGTGGCGACATATGGTGTATTCTATCTACTTTACGTAAAATCATGAATAATGGATTACATTTAAATATTTTATGTCAAACACAATAAAAATTATATTTAAAAAACCCACCTATACATTTCTTCATAAATTGGCAGGCTTGGCGAGTATTACTTCGAATAAAAATAGCGTCCAAGTTGCAAGACTATGTCGCTACCCCCTTAAATATACAAGAATTTCCCACTGGCACCTATTGTTTGACAGGTCGTTGGAATGCCTAATTAGGCGAGTTCGGATCAAAGAAGTAGAGAGGGTAGAACACATACTTTGATTTTCTTTACTATACGGCGCAAGAGAGAGGTCCGACACGCCCAACATAGGGCCCGGCCATTTTGAACCCTATGCAACAGTTTATAGCTAAAGAATCAGATCGCTCACTCTGCGTCGGCACTTTTGATCTCAATGTTCCAGTTTATACACTGCGCAACTCGGATAATACAATATATAACAACCGCCTATAATAAAACAGCTGTCTTCTGCGTATCCTAAATTTGTATCCCGGGGGACCTATTTTCAAACCGTGTGAGTACTCATTTCTCTCAAGATTCTCATCAGAAATGTCATACGTCAATGTGGAAACGCTGTTTTTAAAGGCCTCGAGGATTAAAATTCTTAGGAGGATATTAATTATCTCTAAATAAACCGTGAGAAACAATCAGTGAGTTTACACTTGCCCTTAGGACCCTAAAAATACTGTTTTACGTTGACGTATGACATTTCTCTCGAGAGAAATGAATTCTCTCGACTTTGAAAATAGCACCCCTGGGGGGCTATTTTCAAACTCGAGAGAATTCATTTCCATCAAGAGAAATGTCATACGTCAACGTAAAACCGTATTTTTAGGGCTCTTAGGGCCAGTGTGAACTCACTGACTGTTTCTATCGGTTTATTTAGAGATAATTAAAATTCTCCTAAGAATTTTAATCCTCGATGTCTTTAAATACAGCGTTTCCACATTGACGTATGACATTTCTGATGAGAATCTTGAGAGAAATGAGTGCTCACATACTTTGAAAATAGGTCCCCAGAGGAGTGGATCTTATTTTGAAACTTTCAACTGGTCCGAGTGAGCTAACTGATTCTTTAGCAATAATCTGTGACTCAAAAAATATATTCACTGATAGCCGCAAGCAAAATATCAGGTGCATTTTAATCATCCGCTTCTGCTTCCGGAATTATCGGTTTAGTCGTTTTAACTTGTCAAATTAAAACAAGAAAACCGACAATTCCGAAGCAGAAGCGGATGATTAAAAAAAACGCACCTATTAAAAATATTGCGCCAAGATGTAGGCAACACGTAATAAGGGTTCAAAATGGCGGAGTTTTCTATCTCCTTTTAAAAGGCACTCAGAAAGCTGCGCAATGCGACCATTCTCCGTATAGTAAAAGAAAATCAAAGTATGTGGGTAGAATGCTTGTCATCTTGTCAATAGGCTTGAGATGCGACCACATACTTTGATTTTCTTTTACTATACGGAGAATGGTCGCACTGCGCAGCTTTCTGAGTGCCTTTTAAAAGGAGATAGAAAACTCCGCCATTTTGAACCCTTATTACGTGTTGCCTACATCTTGGCGCAATATTTTTAATAGGTGCGTTTTAATCATCTGCTTCTGCTTCGGAATTGTCGGTTTTCTTGTTTTAATCTGACAGGTTAAAACGACTAAACCGACAATTCCGGAAGCAGAAGCGGATGATTAAAACGCACCTGATATTTTGCTTGCTGTTGTCAGTGTCAGTGAATATTATTTTTGAAGTCACAGTTTATTGCTAAAGAATCAGTTAGCTCACTCGGACCAGTTGAAAGTTGCAAAATAACATCCACTCCAGGGATACACATTCAGGATACGCAGAAGACTGCTGTTTTATTATAGGCGGTTGTCATATATTGTATTATCCGAGTTGCACAGTGTATAAACTGAAACATTGAGATCAAAAGTGCCGACGCAGAGTGAGCGATCTGATTCTTTAGCTGTAAACTATGTCACAGGGTTCAAAATGGCCGCGCCCTATGTTGGGCGTGTCGGACCTCTCTCTTGCCTCGTATAGTAATTAAAGTATGTGGATGCGACTCTATGGGCGAAGACAGGTTATTTTTCATCTTACTCGGGAGTATTTATAACAACCATTTTCTATTTCACTTTGTTATTGTCTGATCCACCAGCTTGTGGATTGAACAATAACAATGTGAAACAGAAAATGGTTATTATAAATACTCCCGAGTGAGATGAGAAATAAAAATGGCTGAGCCCATAGAGTCGCATTGGCTTTCTACCCCACTCCAGTTCATTGGTGGAACCATAATTACATCACTGAACTAGCGTATTAGGCATTCCAAACAAATGAATTTCCAGTGGGCAGGTTTGGTATATCTAAGGGTGGCGACATATGGTGTATTCTATCTACTTTACGTAAAATCATGAATAATGGATTACATTTAAATATTTTATGTCAAACACAATAAAAATAATATTTAAAAAACCCACCTATACATTTCTTCATAAATTGGCAGGCTAGGCGAGTACTACTTCGAATAAAAATAGCGTCCAAGTTGCAAGACTATGTCGCTACCCCCTTAAATATACAAGAATTTCCCACAGGCACCTATTGTTTGACAGGTCGCTGGAATGCCTAATTGCGCGGTACGGTAAATGGAATTTGAAAAGTTGGCAACCCTGCTTATTACTTTTTCATTGACAGTTATCATTCTACCCCTCTCCACTTCATTAATATATAAATATTAGGTTAGGAAAGCGAATCCCTCTCCATTTTATTCCATTCTCCATTCGGGTTTAAGTTTGGGAATTTTTGTTGATTACATTTTGTCATTTTCGGAATTTGACAGTGTGAAGTGTAAAGTATAAAATCTAAGATATACTGTTGGGGTGTTGGGGTTCCTTTACTTTTTGCTGACTTTTCCGGACATACTATACTAAAAAAATATCAACAATTTTGAAGTGATATAACCTAAACAAATATTAATAATTTAATATTTGAAGTTTTGATACACCTAACCTGCAGTTAAAAATATTGGAAAAGTGAAAGGAATGCTCTAGTTTTTGGAGCTGAATGTAATTAGTTTAATCTGAATCGTTAGGAAATATTTCAAGAGTTGCCAGTAACTTAATACGTTGAGGTAAGTTTTTCAATACTGCATAGATACTATATTTTCAAACGCCTCTAGTAGTAGTCATGCTAAAATAATGCATGTGTTTATTTATTATCAAGTTTTGAATAGTTATTCTACCATTAATTATTTTACCATCAATCAATGTTGCATAATTCAAGATTTGTTACATCTTACTGTATTTTTTATTTAAAAGTTATACTTCAATATTTTCGCTGGGTTTATTAACAAATAAGTACATAATAATTAGTTAAAATTTAAATAAAAGTTTACAAATAAATACAAGAAAACTAATTAACAAATAATTGCATCCTGCTGGGACATTTGTTCATATCTGTTGGAGAACATGTATGTAGGTATTGTAGGTACAAGGCAGCCTTTTTTATTTAGCGACTCAAAAACATACTAGGAACAACAGTTTAACAAAGTAATTATTGCTATTTGTAGTTTTTCATTTTTATTTTTTAAATTTATTATCCTCTAACCCTTTAACCACTGAACCCCTTATCAAAATATAAATATACAAATAAAGGTACTTATGTACAAAAGTGATAATATCTATCTACCTATCTAGAGGTAGGTATTTGGACTTTTTGATGGTGTGATGAAATAGTTTCTCACAAGTAGATCAGCCTCACATTAATATTAAATTAAAATGATAACATTTCAGTCCAATGAATATAAATATTCATAATTTTAGATAAGAATGTCAAATCCGATTGTTTTATTCTGAGAATATATACTGAGAATATTAATACCTTCAGATTGTCTCTATCCCTATATTGACTAGAAATGATCTCAAATAGCTAATTTAAATAATGCATGACCCAAATGTGAATCCTGAGGAACCTCTTATTTAATGTTATTGTTTGTGCTTATTTACCTGTCCACCAAAGATATGACTTTAAGTTTAAAAATTAGAATTCATGGTCAGTTCAATCAAATAAACACAATATATTTTTAATCAGAGAGGTAGAATTTTGCATCCTATACTCAATCAATACATTTTCTATTATAACCATCAAGATATAGAATAAAGTAGAGAGGGCATAAACACTATTTTGAGATATGACAGATGGACACACTTCAAGTGATGGCGGAAAAGCATAATGACAATGGCGACTTGAGTGGTACTTTGATTTCTTTGAAGTCAATAATTTTATATTTGAAGATTGACATAATGAAAATGATTTTATATCATTTAAATGAAGCTATTTAACAAAATGGCATTTGCTTTCACCAAAACTGACTAGCTTCACCATCTCGAGTTTGTTGACATATGATGTAAAAGTGTAATGCAAAGGTTGTGGACACTTTAAGCATCATCATAGCATATCCTCTTTATTCTAACTCAGTGGTTATAACTATGAATTTGTCCATTATTAAAATGGTAAATTTTAAAAGAATTCAGCAATATGAATAACCAACATTAGGTACATGAATAAATTATAAAGAAAAATAATTAAAAATTGTTACTTGTGTGATGGAGATTTTTAGGATGATATTAGGTGGTGCATTGAATTACTAAATCTCAAAGAAGGCAACAGAGCACCCAGGAAATTTTGAGTTGAAACCTATGCCTTATTCATAGGCTATTTTTATACCCCATTCAAAAATTTTAATATCCTCGTTTCTTTGAAAAATCATGGTGCTCTGCTAGTTTCGAACGAAGTCGGCAGAGCACCTCGGTTTTCTAAAGCTTTTTAGGCTCTTGAAATATTACACAACTTTACTAAAAAACTGCTATTTTTAAATAATACAGGGTGCTTTTTTGAAACAAAGTCAGCAGAGCACCTCTGTTTATTAATTTTTTTTTATGGAAACAACTATTTATGCCATATGTTTAAGCTATTTTTAAGCTCTTAAAATATAAAACTTTTAGAAAAAAATTGTATTTTTTAAAAAATTCAATGGAGCTTGCTAGTTTCGGACAAATACAAAAGAGCACCTTGATTTTTAAAGCTTTTTTTTCTAAAAACAACCACACCACCTGAAAATTGCTATTTTTAAATAATACAGGATGCTTTGTTGGAACAAAGCAGAGCAAAAAAATAGTATTTTTTTAAAAATACAGGGTAGGGTCCCATTACAATT